AAGATCATAAGACTTTCTCAAGTCCACTACCTTCTTATCTACCAACCTAGAAGCCAGTATGTCCTCCAAGTCAAAAAGTGATAAACTTTTTGAAAAAAAAGTGCCACTGTTAAAAAAGCAACCATTTCTAACTCCAATGGATCACGACAGATCATAAATCTACCAGCGGAATATTGTGTTTCTTGTACCTAGGCTGCATGGAAAAAATCCTTGGGTAGAAGAAACCTGCAGAAATTGTGCCTCTTTTTAATGGTTTTTTCTTCTGATATTTTTAGGATGGCATGAACAACGGTTCACTAAACCTAATAAGAGTGGGTCAAAGAGGGTTGCGGGTGGCCATGTATTCTTCCCTGGTATTATTAATACATCATGCATAACCTCTAGGAAGATCTCAAAGTGATCTGAAGATTCTTGAGTTCCACAAGAACAGAATATTGAATACCTCTTACAAGATGTAATTTATAAAATATTTCAGTGAAAAATTATAAAGAAAGATAAGAAAATAGGAAAAATTATAAACGGAAAAGACTTAAGGAACACCACAAAAACGCTAACTCGGTGAAAGCCACAAAGTAGGCTGGATGGAAGGAAATTTAATAAATTTGAATTCTGTATTCCAGAGAAACAAAGACATCAGAGCCAGCTTTGGTACACGTTCAGAAACTACAATCCTATTGAATAACAGAACCAGGAAACGAGGTGTAACACCACAAACATAACATAGGTGTAAAAAATGGACAGAAGAGCCTGTCCTGAATAGTGTGCAGGAGAGGACGAAAGGAGACTCAGGAGTGATTGAAGGCCCATGAGGGAAACAGGAAAAGGAGCTGCCTCCATCCTCAGAGCAAGGAAACCGAGGAGAAAACAGGAGGAAAACAAATTCCTCCGCAGTCTCCCTTTTCCAAGGGAGAAAAGAGGTGCCATTCCTCTTATCCCCCGGGACCAAGGCTGAGGGGGCTGAGGGCCAAGAGACTGTGGGAGGTGTACCCTAACTAGGCCTTTAGAAGTATGCTACAGCCTACAGCAGCAATAAGCACTTGCTCATTACAGTATTGCTGTGTAGCTTTCAGTAACCACAGGACACAGAGAATGTGAGATTTTCAGGTTCTAAGAACATTTTGTGCAATGGAATGTAACTCAAGCAATAACACTCAGGATCAAAGAGGTTTTCTCCATTTGTCTGGTCACTAAGTGGTAGCGCAGGCTTACTTTCATAAATAATTCAAGCTAATGCTAAGTATTAACTTTAAAGAAATTATTAGCAAAAATAGTGCTTTGTATAGGAAGCACAAAGGGCAGTATAAAAAAAATCAGTAGCTTTGGGAATAATTGCATTTACATTCATTGAACGTATCTTCTCCAAAAACACCAACATACATAAAATGGGGTATTGCATAGCATTCCTTGTAACATAAATATGGCACTGTGTGAAAAAAAAATATTTGGCTGAATCACAAATTCTGAATGGAAGGAGGGCTGAGACAGGCAAGGCTGCAGCTCAGCTACAGGTAAGCCCAGATGTCTCAGCAACAGAAATTAAAAGACAGATGTATCCTTTCACGTGGAATCACTGTTCTCAGTAATATTTTTACACCTAAATAAGATGGATGCTCCCCAGAACAGATTTTTTTTTTTACAAATGTTAAGAGTATTCAAGGTAGGTTTTTCAGAATATTGTATTTCTCAAGGCAGAAAATTGTCAAAACAAGATCAGGGCAGTTTGCAGAGAAGGATCCAAGAAGTAAATAGTCATCATAGCAGGCATTAATATTAACAATGGCTGCTCACACAGAAGAGGAGGATTCATATTTTCCCAGAAAGATTAGGGGCCTGATCTAAACCCAGTAATAAAACAGAACTCATGAGAAAACTTTGGATAATGTCTGATTCAGAAACAAGGGGCTACCGGGCAGGATTTGTGTTAACAGCCTAGTAGAGCACATGACATTATTTTGTTTACAACTGAAGTGACTATTTGGTGAATGTTTTTAGGCTGGGGGAATATTGCAAGTATCAGAGAGCGATGTTGTACATCATAATTACGACTGTTCACTGACTAGTTTTTTAAATCGAAATTCTAGCACAGAATGATTACTATACAGCTGAAAATACAGGAAAAATAAACTTATTATCTGTAAAGTAAAAAACTCTCAGGCTACACATCGCATCTCTTACCGAGCTTCCACATACATACACATTTTTTCAACAGTGCCAATCAGTTATTATGTACTGCATGCACAAGCGACGTCCATCAACGCATGCGCTGACAAAGCAAGTTTGAAAGAGTCTCTGCAGCGAGTACTCTTGCCTGCTATGTCAAGAACTTGACCTCCTGAATTAACAAACTCTGTAAACGTTTCCCTCAAAATCCAAACAAGACAAGCAGGACAAACCACCAGTGGGCTACATTTGCCCCGCTCCCCGAGGGACCGTCTGCTCGCTGGGCGGCGGCAGCACACCTCTGCGGCCCGCAGAGCTGAGCGCGGGGCTCTGCGCACCCCAAGGAGCCACGGCTCCTCCGCTGGAGCAAGCAGCAGAGGAAATGAAAGCAAAGCTTTCTGACTTCCCAGAGACATGCCAGCTTAGTTCAGTAAGTGCACACATACGGCGAGGTAGGAAGGGCAGTGCTATTTTAAGAAAGCCTAAAAAAATTACAAAGGAAGCAGCTCGTAAAGAAATTTAGTTTTATAACGAGCAACTCTTGTGCTGATATACAAATCTGCACTCCCTACAAATTTACATTTATAAAATCTACATTTATTAACATACGTTTTCAAAGGTGATATGCACTGAAGTTACATCTGCCCTTCCTCAGAGGGAAAAAAGAGCTTAGAGAAAATACTCCAAGGTTTTCCTTCATAACTTCCCTCATGCCTTATTTAGGACATTAGCTGACTATCTCCGAACAAAGATTTTAGCGGGACATGCTATACAATCTCTGTACAACTCAATTCTCCAACAATAGGGATACCTGCCTTTTGACTACATGATAGGATATGCCTAAGCTCATGAACATCTGCATTCATGTGTCCAGATGTGCACAGTTCACATGACCTGAATCCCTCATTTTGGTCACATCACAAACATCATTCAAATCAGGATCACGTGACAGGATCAAGCTGAAAATGTTGAGGGGAAAGGGCGGCAGAAGCAATGAAATGCGTGGGGGGTAGGGGGGAGGGTTGGGGACCGTTAGTTGAGCGGTCAGACAGACAAAAAATACAAAAGGAGAGAAGGGCACAGCTCGTGAGCGAGACTACTGAGATCGGACCTCTTGAAGACTGGTACAGTAAAATGAATGGAACTGGGATGGAAAGCCCAGAAGTAAGAAATTAAAAATGGCACAAGTGTTACCAGTTCTCAGCTGTCAGTTAACGTTTGTGACACCCAACAGCAATGTATGGACTCCTTTGCCTTTCAGTGTTGGTTCAAAGAGAAGACGGCTTGTGACTGCTATTGACAGCTCATTAGCTCAAGCAGCCTAGGTCTTTATAATGAATCTAGATGTTAGAAACCGCTGGGAAACCAACTGATGTCACATGATAATTCAGCTTCTCACTTTGCCTTTTCATAAAGCTACAGAGCCGCAACTGAAGTCAATGAGAGCTATTCTTCTTGTTATATTGCACTAATGTTCAAAGTATTCCGAAAAAAATAAGGTGTTCAGCGTTTCAAATGAGACAGCCACGTTTAGCAGGTATTTCACTTTAATCTATACGTATGCGAATTCTCCACCCATAAAATGGAGGTAATACCCCCATCATTTCCCGGGGTTATTGCAAAGAGAAATAAATTAGTTTGTGAAGTATTTGAATACCATAGTGATGAGCACTGCAGAATTGCCAACAGGAAATTAATACTGTTGTAGGAACAAGGTTTGAATAGCAGTAATAAATAAGGATTAATGCTATACATCGAACAACGAAAAGAAAGTAAAATATTGAATTGCTTGTCATTAAGTTAGCACAGTCTATTCTGTACACTCAGTATGAGAGAGTTCCTGTGGGAGAAGAGACGACGAGATAATACACATAATGACGGTAACATAATACATATGTATATGCACCTTTAATTCTGATGCTTCCTAGTTTTTGGACTACTCGACTTGATTTTCATAGATTACTGATCATTATCATTAGAGGGAAAGCACCTAAGTACAGGAAAGCAACACTGTTCACATGGCAAGGTAAACAACACTGAAAATGCACCCGTAGCAGACAGGAATAGGGGGTATTGCTGAAAAGATTAAAGTTCTGCAAAGGCGGTGGGCGATACATTGTAAAGTTTTCTGCCTGGCACACTTATTTTACCAGTGAACACTTACTATAACTGAGGAACAAAATAACACATGAGTTTCCTTTGTTCTGGATCTTTTTCTTTCTATACATAGGTCTGCACACAATCACAGGAGATCATTACTCCAACCTCTCCAGGAACATCTTTAATTTCACGGCATACTAAATTACACAATTACACACACACACACACACACACACACACACTCCCTTACTCCTTTACCTATTCACTTCTCTGTGATCTCAGCCTATGTGAGAAATAAAGGTAATTAAGTAAAGATTTTTTATTTTATTCAACTACATGATGAAGCAAATTCAGCTTCCATTTAATCTAGTTTTATAGTGCAGGACTGAAACCTTCTCATTCATAAAATGTATGGATTAGTTAGCATACAACTGTCAGCGATAATTAAATTAATTTACTAACGTGTATTTACACATAATGAGTGCCTTCTTCATGATCTATTATTAGCACTTATAAACTAATTCATAGTGAGGTAGCAGCACTAAGCATGATGAAGCTAGCAAAGCATTTGCCCTTTAGAAGCAACTTCTAGAAAAGCCTAAGATCATGTCCCTATTTTGGTGAGTCACTTCCTCCACGTCAAATCATGCTATCCTTCCTTCAGGCAAAAATCCCAAGTTAGGCTAATTTTTCTGCCCAAGGAAACAGTCAGAAGACAAAAGCAGTGCTACTTTTCTCACCCAACGTAGTTTGGACTGTGCCAGCAGCGCAGAGCTGGAGGAAGCTGGTCGGACTCCTCGCCCGTTCCAGCGTACGGCACACGCTGCTGCTCGGATCGCGCCGCACTCGCATTCTCCCTCTGGGCTTTTAAAAGAAAAACAACCTGACATATAACTTGAACTCTGGATTGCATTAAGCAATTTCTAGGCCCCAGGTTGTTGATTCATATGACTTAGTGCTGATAGGCTGGTCCTGCAGTATATAACACACTAGCATTAGATAATGAAGTACTTTCCTCTACCTCGCTACATGCAGCAGTCACAAAAGAAAATACAAGTCAAACAGATAAAAGAGAAAGTACCCAAAGACACGTTCTAAATGCTTGTGCAAACTCACTTAAAACATTGATCTATTGAGGCAGAGTTAATATACTGTTTTACGTTCACATTTCAGTTCAGTTTCTCTGGCTCTCAATGAACAATGACAGCATCCGATTTAAAACATTTGTTTCAAGGTCATTTGACTTCTTCCACTGGCATCAACCTAGTCACACATCAGTCCACGGACAAGATAGATGAACTGCTAGGTTTCTTCTAAGGAGCCAGTCTGTAAGGTTTAGAAAAGCACAAAGCTCCCTTCACATTAACTGTCGGTCAAGGGTAAGCAAAGGATAAGCTAAAAGAGAGAGTTACTTACTAGCGCAGTAACTAAAAGACACATCCTGTAGAGAGTCTTCACGGACCCAAGACTTAACAGGGCAAATATGTTACTGTGATATTAACGCTTTGCTAAGAAACAGAGACACCAGCTAGGATGATGTGCCTCACATCTAGAACAGAATCAAAATGAAGATGGAAGAGGACTTGCTTCACTCACAGCTAGTGCTCAGCAGGCATCCAGTGGAGAACCACAGCTGAGTCAATCAGACTGTATTTGTATCATTATATTCATAAATGCAAAATGAGCTATACTAATTAGTAGCCACTCTCATTATAGTCCAGTCTTTGCTGCTGAAACAGAAAAAGAAAAAAAAAGATGTTCTTAAGATAACTATCTTAAGAGAAGAGTCCAGTGAAAGCACGGCAGACCGTATGTTTTGAGTCATTAGGTCAAACTTTAGTCTGCCAATTTACACTGAAATGACAAAACGGCTTTCTTGGATCTTAGCTTTGAGCTAGTTAATTCAAATATTAAAGCGTTTAATGTTTTTCTTTATGGGGAGGTCAACGCTAAAATTCTGAAGTAAAGACAGAAATCCTAATAGAAGATTTTCATTGTCTACCTCAAGTGCTCTGCTAGAAATACAGACATGCGCAAGAGATCTACAGAGTCTTCCATTCAAAATTTTCCAAAGCTATTACTGGGCAGAGCGTGTATCTGTCTGAAGACATGAAGAGTATTCACAAGCGAGATAACTGCACCAACAGAGATGCTGCGGATCAGCCACTCAAAACCCATGCTCATCCCAAGGGGATTCATTCACATTGTGCCCAGCCTTAAAGCACGAGTTCTGGGAACTGGAAAATTACCTGTGTGGATCCACTAGAAGACCACAAACAAACTGAGCTGGAAGAACCAACGTGCTTGAATAGACGGCAGTCTGCTATAGGAAATGGGCCCTGTCACGGAGGGAGTCCCAAGCATGGAGTTCATACAAAAGAGGAATCCAGGATTGGTGCCCTGTCAGGGGAGGACAGCAATGAGTGAGGGTAATGGAGGGAAGGTTCTCATTTAACCTTGGCACAATTTGGTTAGATGCGTTTTCCTGTGATTTCTTCACTTACAACTTTTAGAAAGGTTGGTCTGTTTGGGAAGCCATGAACCACCTTTACTTGCATTTAGCCTCAACTCCCTCCTTAGTTAGCTACTGACTGATTACTGTACAAATATTTCTCTTATGTTTTGGTATTATTATTTCACAAATGGATTCTACCGGCTCATTCCCAGATGTACAGTTTTCAGATTCAATAAGCTTTCTGTATAAACTACAGATTGAATGGCCTTTGTTCTTCTTTGCTGATAGAAAATTAATTTATTGGTGTTTTTTTTTTTTTCGTTTTGAGCCAGTTGCAAACGTTCAGTGCAGCAGCTACTACAGACAGTGTATCACACAGAGATGGAAAGATCTATTAGGTTATTTTCTTCTGCTACAAACTGATGAAGAACTGCAATCAATGAATCACATGCCTGTCACGTCCTCAATTGTGTTGGCTAGTTTTAAACAACGGGATCCACACAGCCTCTGCCCGTTCATTCACTGCTTCCTACTACTCTAAACAGACATCATGTCTGAAAAATGCAATATTCAGTAAAAACATAATGGCTTTACAGATTATGAAGCCAGAAAGAGTTGATGTGCCCATCCAATCTGATCCCTTTCAACATCAGAAACACAGTTTCAACCAGTGACTCTTACGTTAACCCTAATAATGCAAGTTTCGGCTTAAGCGTGTTTTGAGAAATTTCCGATCCCCAAGGGCCACAAATATTAAGGACTTAGTGTCCTTTAGCAAACTATCACCATGCTGAATGACTAAACTGTTCCAAAACTGTACTTAATTTTATGCTTGAATTTCTCAGACTTCAGATTCCAGCTACTGAAACAATATTGACAGGTCTGTGGCTGGTAGCAGACGTAGTCTTACTGTACTGTATTCCCCTTGCATCTGTGACACTATATGCCTTTGAGATACCTTCAAAATTCTCCTCCATCCCGTGTTGTTTAACAACATTCACGTACTTGTTTGATGTTATCATTTCTCCCTATTAGAGGTCTCTTGGCCATTCTCTACATTTCAGTCCTTTTGAAAATCTTTCCTCAAATAACAAGTCTCAAAGACATGTAATCATATTTTGTATTCCTCTGATAGTCTCTTCAGTATTGGTATTGAAATGCCCCAAACTGACTAGTCAGAAAGTCTTAGCAACATTTACTCTATTTAAGAGCTCCTTTACAAGACGTACCCACTACAGCCCCAAGCAGCATTTGACTTGTTCGCTTCATTTATCTCATTTACTTTAGGTCTCTTTCAGCATTACTGCTTTCCAAAGTAGCTCCTACTAGAGTATTTTAGTTTTGCCTGCTGCCCTCAACATTGAATCTCATTTGATTTCCTTTGTATCCTTCTGGATCTTGAAGTCTTCTACATCTACTTCTATGCCGGTAATGACGTTTACAACGTCTTCAGCTTAAGTACCAGATTAAGTAACATGCTGCTGACATCTTTCACTCCAGTCTCTCACAGGGATGTTCATGTCCCTAACACAGATAGGTGCATCACTACATTTCCTTTCCCTGTTTTGGATATTAAAGAGGCAACCATCTAAAAATGTTAAAATTGTAAGAAGTATCTGTATTACCTACCACCTGATAAAATTTCAAAGAATTTACAAATTCAAAATATTATATTTATTAGTTCTGGCAATTAACGTTTCTCAACGTAAACAACAGCAATAATATAAGCAAGTACTATTTTTTTATGGTCTGCTCAACTTTCATGTTTTAACTTCCAGGGTGCAAAATATGACAGGGAAATAAAGGGTTTCAGTAAATTAAAATACAAAAAATTTTTTCCTTGACATAATAAAAGCTTGTTTATATGGAAAATAAATAGTTGGGCAAATTCTGATTTGATACTGTCTTAACAACAGGTAAGAAAAGGATAATAATAAAATTATTTACAGTTAATAAAAGTTGTGTATCTAGGAGCTTTTTGTATATCACATGAGACTCAGAGTGAACCTGTGAAAGATAACAGAGATAAACTGACAAAAATCTACCTACAACATCTGGGCTCTTCAGAGGACTGGCTCATCTTTTAACTATGTCTATGTAGCACGAAGTAAAGTAAGTCCTGATTTTGATAAGGATCTGTTAGTATTCTCGTAATAGAAATAATAACAATCACTGCCCAGAAACGTTGTTTATGAGATTACAGAAGAATTTCACAAAACTGCCCTATGAAAAGGTTAAAATCAGCAGCTAAAACCTTTTGTTGTGACCTGCCTCCAGTGTCCTATTATGATTAGGGCTTTTTCTTTCTTCCTCATTTTTCCTGCTCTTCCATTAACAAATAAACTTAATTATGTATATTGAACCTAGGCAAACATTTCAAAGTAGTACCACAGAAGCCAGAAAGAAGAAGAAATCTTCCTGTGTTACGAGCACAACTAGAGTACTTCTGAATGCTTTAAATTCCATCCAGCAGAATGGGACTGACTGCAGCTCAGGTACAGCTTTCTCATCTCTACAATTTGCCATCTTTAGGCTTCCGAAGCAACAGCTTGATGAAACTTCGTTTTCTTCTTGTTCTCTATTTTTTTCAGGTTGACTACAAATTTCAATCAGAGTTATCAGTTTATCGCACCACTGAGGTGACCCAGAAGCATGTCTAACTAATCCCCTAGGTGCCCTCAGATTAGCAGACAAAAGCCACATCCAAGAGAAAAGTCAAGAAATAAATTCAAAGATGTGGATTTACAAAATGCCATCACATTTGGTAGGTATTTAAAATTAATCAGGTTAGTTTAGCAGAACGCTGTTCCTTGTTCTGCTTTTCTTAAGGAAATAAAATAACTGATCAGACTAAGAATGTTTGTCCTGAAATATTTTAAGTATTCGTCATTATCTGCTTTCAGATGACTCTCTCGATTTAGAAGAAACCTGAAAAAATATTTTCAGAAGTAATTAAACCAGTCAAATACAGTGAGTCTGTAAGAAAGACCTACTTACAGAGGAGAACTTCCAGTTAACTGTGCCTCATTTTCCTCTCCTTGCTGTTTTAGTGGCTCATTGGGAGCATCCAAAGAAGAGTCTCAAGCTGAAATTACCAATCTGAAATTACCAACACAAGTTGCTTGACGGAAGTCAGTGGGAAAACTGGCAAATACAATTGTTATTCATATGAACAGGAACAAACGCTGGACTGCGAAATCAGCTGTCCCTCGGGATGCTTGCTTTTCTTGTATTTGCATGTGGCTCCATATGTGATAAAAAGAGGGTGCCTATCTGAGGACCTTTGAAACACTCACTGGCTTTTCAAATTAATTGAAATTTTGAGGCAACAGTTGTGCAAGTCAAACTAAAAGACAATAGCAAATTTATCAACTGAAAAGAACAAATTATACAAACGCTTTTCACCAGC